AGCACTCTACCCAGGGTGACATAGTGAGACTCAGTCTCAAAAACAAACAAATAAATAAATAAATGAGAAGTTCAAAAATATCAATGGTTTAAGTCACATCTTTCAAGTCACACTAGTAAAATATTGATAGCATTTCATGGTTACTGACTACTTTGTCCCTACATCTTATTGTTTTGCAGTATTCTGATACCCTGAAAAAGATGGATCCTGATCACTTAGTAGCATTGGTGACAGAAGTTATTCCCAATTATTCCTGCTTAGTTTTTTGTCCCACTAAGAAGAACTGTGAAAACATAGCAGAAATGATATGTAAATTTTTAAGCAAGTAGGTTAATCTTTGAAAAACATTATTTTATTTTTATTATGAATTCCAGGTTGTATATTACATTTATTGAGCTAATACTACTTCCTGCAGAACATTATATTAAATTGTTACACTACATTCTCAAGGCCTTAACTTTGAAGAAAGAAAAATTAACTGTGAAATTTGCATAAGTAGCCAAAGAAAAATTCTAAGGTTACCTTTAAGAGGATGTTGACCAACACAACGGCTTAGATCAGTGATTTAAAACTTTGTACCATGAATGATCCCGAGCCTTTTAAAAATCCCAATGTTCAGGCTACATCTTAGACAAATCAGACTGTGGGAGTAGCACCTATGCATCATTTTGTAAACCTCCCCAGGCAAGTCCAACTCAGCCAAGGTCAAGAACCACTGGCTTAGGTAGTCAAAAGGCTAAGCTCTTCAGCTGAACCATCACTTTAATCAAATACCGGTGCTTCTGTTTTCTTAGTAAACTTCACATTTAAGTCATGTGCACATTTGAATTAATTTCCTAAGTAAAAAATGTATTGGTTTGTAGTTTTATGATATTTTGACGTCAGCTTTGTCATACCCATAGATAAAAGTGTGATGTGACATTAAACAATATATAGTTCAGTTTTCCTGCCCCTGTTTGTCCCATGTGTAGTTTTATCACTTTTTCAGACTTCGTTGCAGCCCCTTTTTGTGGGATATCATTTGAGATTTCTAAAGTGCTGGGGTGTGGACAATGTTTACTATATAGTATGATTAAATAATAGACATTTTCCATCTTCAGAGATGAAAATGTATACCTTAAAATAAAATGAACCATCTTTAATAATGATGTATGTTGTAGAGGAAAAAAATCATTATAACATCTAGGCAGGCATCCTCAAACTACAGCCTGTGGGCCACACATGGCCCACCGAGGACATTAATCCAACCCGCAGGGTGTTTTTGCCACTGCTGCCTGTCCTGCTTAGCAGCCAACTCATCCTGGGGCCCACAATCCGGCCCTCCAAAGGTCTGAGGGACAGTGAACTGGCTCCCTGTTTAAAAAGTTTGAGGAGCCCTGACTAGAGCAAGGGTCTAAACCTGGCATCCATGGATTCTTGGAAGTACAGAAATTAACTTCAGGGAATCCATGAACCCTCTAAAATTCTATGTAAAGTATTGTGTTTGTGTGAATAGTTGTATTTTTCCTTAGCTTTAATCAGATTCTTACAGGGTTCTGTGACCTACAAGTAGACTAGGAGGCTGCCTAATAGTTAATGAAGTCAGAATCAAAATTCTAAGAATATTTTGTATATTTACATCAATAAAAGTAGTACATTTTTTTAAAAAAAATGTTTATGTGACATCTACTAAAATGAATGAGATCAAGGGTTCATATCTCTAACAGATCTTTCTCCTAGGGCCTATCTGAAACACAGGGAGAAAGAGAAACAGGAGGTGATTAAGAACCTGAAGAGCATCAGCAGTGGCAATCTGTGTCCTGTTCTAAAACACACTATCCCCTTTGGAGTTGCTTATCATCATAGTGGTTTAACAAGCGATGAAAGGAAGCTCCTGGAGGAGGCCTACTCCACGGGGGTTCTCTGCCTCTTCACCTGCACTTCCACCCTAGCAGCAGGCGTCAACCTGCCAGCTCGAAGGTAAGGGCTAAACTAACTGCTGGCCTGGCACAGGCCAGGCTTGGAACTATTTTCCATTCCCAGCTTGCGAGGAGTTTTGCTATTTATCTCCTACTTGTGGCTGAGAATTTATCAAATGTTTTTCAGTATTTGCTGAGTTAATTGTTTGGTTTATTTCCTTTGATATTTTAGTGAATATTAAATACATATCTTCTGAAATATTTAATGAAAAATAACATTAGTAGATTTCCTAATGTTATTTCAGAATTCCATCCTTTTATGTTCTTCCTATCCAGTTTTAATGGTAGAGTTCATTTTCCTAGTTGTGCAGAAACATTTGACAAGCTTTTCACCTTTTAATGATCTTTATAAGGCGAGGAGGAACACAGAGAAAGAACATAGAGTGTGCAGCTCAACAACCAGGACAGGTTTATTCATAGACTGTGGCCTGAGTAAACCTGACTGCGGCCTTGGGCCTAAGTGGAAAGGCAACTTTCCTTACAATCTGCCTGCTTATATAGCTAGTTTCCAGTTGCAGGGGTGGGGATGGGGGGTGGGCGCCTGTTTGGGATAGAGTTGGAGCAGAGCTTGCTAAGGCGGCAATGTCCTTTGGGGCAGGGTTTATCCAGTTAAGGCAACAAGGCCCCATATGGAGTTTTTTTCTTCTGGGGCCTGGCAGGGCCCAGAAGATGCGCCCCCC